TGGAAGCCATCTATGATTCCGTTCCTGTTAGGACAAGGGTCTCAAGGTTTGGACAGTTCTAAATGTTATTTCTTACTAAATGTTAAAATACAACACAGTATTTTGTAGCTGCAGTTGTAAACTGGATGAGGTGACATGAAATCGAGGAATAAAAGTAGCCAACTATAAAGAAGAAATCAACATGTAACTGACCAAATAGAGTGTACAAGCCGTGGTTAAATCTCCCTTGCAGAAGGCAGAGCTTTGACTATGAATCCCCCACATCCTTTACTTGCCACAAGTAAATAAAACTGCTTTACTTTTGTTTTTGTTTTTGTTTTTGTTTTGACAGGAGCACCCCAAGCAGCCAACCCCTTGAGTGTGGTACCATTCCCACATCTCCCCCAATTCTTCCTCCTCCCAGGCCTCCTTCTGCATATTGCAGCACACTGTGCACTTTCTAACCACCAGGTCTGGCTCACATGTGCTCCCAGGGTTAGACTGCACACACGAAGCGTGGCTGTGGACCCGGACCAGGCTCCTGACGCCTCACCCATTTCCAAGACTCAACAAGAAATACTTCATGTGCTGTGTCTTACATTCCTCATTTGTGCTGAAACAACAATGTTTCAGATAATGTGGGTTAAAAGTATTTGTGTTAAGACTTCCGGCCAAGATGGAGGTGTCGGTGGGAACACTGTACCTCCTCACACAACCAAGTTTAAAGACAACAAAGTTTTAGTGAGAAAAACGCAGCCAAAACACAGAAAATTGAACTGTACGGAAGTCCAACAACAACGAACCATTCAGCCAGACCGGTAAGAGGGATGGAGTCCGCAGTGGAGGAGGGTCGGACAGGAAGGATCAGGGAGCTCAGGAGTGCAGGAGTGCAGTGTGCAGGCAGCGGTTGGTGGATCCCAGGCCTGGGGTGGCAACGGGCAAACCCAGTGAGGGTACAAGGCGGTTGGCTGACCGCAGTCACGCATTCGAGCACAGATAAACCAAGCAAAGGAGCAAGCAGTGAGACAGACCGCGCAAACCAGGGCCCCAGTGCCAGGAATTAAAGCCTAAAAGCACCTATTGGAAAAACTTTCGGGGGTTGAGGTGCAAGGAGAGGCTCCCAGGCTCACAGAAAGTTTGTTGGAGAGACCCACAGGGTCCTGGAGGGTGCAGAAGGCCACACACCCAGGAACCAGCACCAGAGGGGCCCAATTTGCTTGTGGGAAGCAGCAGAGGGGACAGAAATCTGAGAGAGAGGGGAACAAATGCCACTGTCCCCCTCTGACCCTATCCCCACATACAGCATCACAACCCTGCAACTGGGTCACCCCACGCTGGTGAACACCTAAGCCTCCGTCCCTCATATATAATAGGTGCAACCTGACCAAAACATTATGGCTCAAGCAGAAAAAGAGCTCAAAGCCCCAGAGCCAATAAATCTAAATGACCAAGAGATAGCTAACCTTTCAGATGCACAGTTCAAAACACTTATGATCAGGATGCTCATAGAACTGGTTGATTTCAGTCACAAATTAGAGAAACAATGAAGGCTAAACTAATTGAAATGAAGGGAAATGCACAGGAAACCAATAGTGATGTACAGGAAACTGAGACTCAAATCAAGGGAGTGGACCAGAAGGAAGAAAAAAATGACCAAACAGAAAAGGATGAAGAAATATGAATTTAAAAAAATGAGGAGAGGCTTAGGAACCTCCAGGACATCTTTAAATGTTCCACCATCTGAATTATAGGGGTACCAGAAGGGGAAAAGGAACAGCTACGAGTGGAAAACTTCTTTGAACAAATAATAAAGGAGAACTTCCCCAATCTGGCAAAGGAAACAGACTTCCAGGAAATCCAGGAAGCTCAGAGAGTTCCAAAGAAATTGGACCCAAGAAGGAACACACCAAGGCACATCATAATCACATTAGCCAAGATTAAAATGAAGGAGAGAATTCTACAAGCAGCAAGAGAAAAGGGGACAGTCACCTACAAAGGAGTGCCCATCAGACTGTCAGCGGATTTCTCAAAAGAGACCTTACAGGCAAGAAGGGGCTGGAAAGAAGTATTCCAAGTCATGAAATCCAAAGACCTACATCCAAGATTGCTCTACCCAACAAAACTTTCATTTAGAATGGAAGGGCAGATAAAGTGCTTCTCAGATAAGGTCAAGTTCAAGGAGTTCATCATCACCAAGCCCTTATTATATGAAATGTTAAAGGGACTTATCTAAGAAAAAGAAAATAAAAAATATGAACAGTGGAAGGACAGCAAACTCAGTTATTAACAACCACACCTAAAACAAAAGCAAATTAAGAGGACAGCTAGATCAGGAGTGGAACCATAGAAATGGAGATCATGTGGAAGTTAGCAACAGGCAAGTGGAGTGGGAAGAGGAGAAGGGGAGAGAAGGTACAGAGAATAAGAAGCATAGACAGGTAGAAAATAGACAGGGGGGAGGGCAAAAATAGTATGGGAAATACAGAATCTAAAGAACTTATGACGCATGGACATAAACACAAGGGGGGGGAAAATGGTGGGGGAGGGGTGTTCGGGTGGAGGGGAATGAAGGGGGGAATAGAACTGTAATGGCATAATCAATAAAATATATTTAAAAAAGAAAAAATAAATAAACATATTCGTGTTAATGTCACCTTTTATATCGCAGCCTCTACACTGTCGTTAAGTCACGTGTGCGACACCTCGGACTTCCGCCCAACAGCGCCAGCTCCACCACCGGGTGCTACACAAAGCTTCTTCCAGGTCCGCTGGCAGCTCCAGAAGGAAGAAGGCGAGCGCCTCTCTGCGGAAGACATGCGTCGTGTTTGCTGCATCTGATTGCGGCATTTGCGCCAGCGCGCCTCCTGGAGCAAGAAGACGAGCCAGAGCAAGGCCTGAAGAATGTGCCAGACTGCCCGGCGTGCCAGAGAGCATGCGCGCTAGGGGGTGGAGCGAGGGGGGAGGCGGGGCCGGGGGCGGTGCCCTTAACTTCGGCTGCCGCTGGTGAGACCGCCTACAGCTTCAGGGTGCGCCACTGTTGGTCTAGGGAGGAGGAGATTTCCTTGGCCCCACCCCAAGCTCCGCCTCTGGCCCATAGGAACTGAGGAGTCCAGCGGACACTGGAAGAAAGCAGGTCCTCCACCCTGGACCAGGTATACTGGGACCGCGGCACTGTTGATTCTCTTGGAAACTGCACTGAGGGTCCTGGGGCACACCTTGCACCTGGCCAAAAGAGGTTGGTGGACTGGACTTGGGAAGGGGTGTCCCCGCCCATATCCTAGCTAAGCCCCTCCCCTCAGACACGTATTCAACACCTAAATTAGCTAAGTATACCCAAAAGAGAAAATTAGTTACAATGCTAAGTAAGAGAAGCCAGATTCAAAGAGCCAAATATTAAAAAGAGAAAAAAGTAAAATAATTCATAACTGCCCTGGCTGGTGTGGCTCAGGTGGATTGAGTGCAGGCCTGTCACCCCAAGAGTTACCGATTTGATTCCCAGTTGGGGCACTGGGTTGTCACTGGCTAGACCCCAGCTGGGTGAGTGCGAGAGGCAGCCACACATTGATGTTTCTCTCCCTTTCTCCCTTCACTTCTTTCTAAAAATAAAATGTTTTAAAAAAATTACTCATAATTCCATCACTCAGAAATAAATGTCTTTTTTTTTTTAAGCCAAATACTGTGTGATTCCATTCATAACATTTTGGAAAGGGCAAACCTGTAGAAATAGATCAGTGGCTACCAGGAGCTGAGTGGAGCACAAAGGGACATGGTGGGGACACTAGGGATGAGGGAACTAATCTGGAGATTGTGGTGGTGGTTGTACAACTGAATGTATTTGTCAAAACTCACAACTCACATAACCAAAAGCTAAAAGGTATGAGTTTACCTAATGTGAATTAGTTTTAATTTTTACAACTACTAAAAAAACAGAAAGCAGATTGGTGGTTGCCAGGGCTGAGAGGAAAGATAAATGAGGAGAGTGATTAATAATGAGTTAAGTGGCTCGGTTTGGAGTGATGAAAATGTTTTAGAACTGGATAGAGATGACAGTTGCACAATCCTGTGAATGGACAAAATGCCACTGAATCATTCCCTTTAAAATGGTTGAGTTTTGGGGAATTTCACCTTTAAAATATATATAAAACTTTTTAAATGCAGGTTCCTGTCTGCCTTTCTACTCACCAAGTTCATATCTGAAGGCATTCTTTGTGGGCTGAGAAGTGAACTGGTAATTCCACCCTAGCCTCAGTCCTCATGCATGTGCTTAAAAGGACCCCTCCCTCCCCATAAGATGCACTGCCCTTGTGCAATTATTGTCTTCAATTTGTTTGTTTTTTTAAAATTCCCAACTTTTTTTTCGTCCTCACTCAAGTATATCTTTATTGATTTTAGAGGGGAAGTGGAAAAACAGTGTGAGAAACATAATCAGTTGCCTCCCATATGCAGGACCAGGGTTGGAACGTACAACCTAGGTATGTGCCCTGACCTGGAAATGAACCTGCAACTTTTTAGTGTATGAGACAACGCTCCAACCAACCGAGCTAACCCAGCCAAGGCTATTCTCAAGTTTCAAAAAAGGAAACTGAGGCTCAAATATAAGTGGCTTTCCCAACTGACCATTGCAGACCAACTCCAGGACCTGCGTTCTTTATTTTTTAATTTTTTTAAAATTGATTTTGGAGAAACATTAATTTTTGTTCTACTTACATATACAGATGTTGGTTGCTTCTTGTATGTGCCCTGACCTGAGATCAAACCCACACCCTTGGCCTATCAGGATGATGCTCTAACCAACGGAGCTACCGCACCGTGAGGGAGTGCTCCCTTCTCTTCTATAGATGAGGAGACTGAGATTCAGGGAGGTCATGCAAGGGAGGAGTGGCAGAGCCTGGAGATCACCCAGGAGCCCTGAACACCCTATGTCCTTTTTTTAAGACACGGGAACCTAAGACTTGCTTGTTCCTTCTCGCCTTGCCCCCCAACCAAGGACTTGGAAGCCACTCCTCCTACCCCCCCCAATACCATCTCCCGTCTTTGCAGAATACCCAGAGTAATCCCAGGGAATCTGAGGACCCTGATTTCTCATTGCAATACCACACAAATTGGGGGAGTCATCATGAGCTGACCCACATCCAGTCCCCTCTGGTTGGCCCAAAGAGCACCCCACACTTTCTGTAGTGCAGGAAGCCCTCCCCAGCAATGCAGGACGGCGTGCACCCAGGAGGCACAACCTAAAAAACAAAGTACAAACTTTATTTTGTTTCTTTATAAAGGCATGGTGGCCTCTTGGTTCCCCGCCCCCGCCCCCACTTTCTTTAACAAAATATAATAGCTCTCCTTGAACACAAAGACCTCAAAATTGTAAAAAAAAAAAATAAAACCAAACAAAACAAAAAGTTCCGAAAACAAACAAAAACCAAAAAAAAAACAATCAACAAACAAAACAAAAAGAGAGAGACAAAGACATTTTTGAGGGTCGAAGATAGGCAACCTGGAGGGAGAGGTGGGGGCCAGCTGGCGGTGGAAAGTGGCAAACCCTAGTGCTGAGGTGGAGCAGGGAAGGGAAGGCAGGGCAAAAGGGCAGCAGCAAACCCCAGTGAAGAAGCAACTTCCACCCTGGAACCCCAGAGAGTCCTGACCCAGCCAGCCTTCCCAACCCATGTAAGTGCTTAGAGAAAGAGGAAAACCAAAAAGTGAAGGGAAGGGTGAATTAAAAACTGACACTCCTAGGGCTAGCTCTAGGGAGGGCAGAAATCTGCTGGGGTTTTATTTGATTTTCCCTGTTCTTAAAAACATGTGTTTAAATGAAAAAAAAAAAGTTTTGGCAGAGAGAGGCCAGGCACCTCAAGTGTCAGCTCCCCCAGCCTCCCTGTGAGGCCCAGCCCCAGGTGTCCAGGTGCTCCCACACGCTCACTCCCGCAGCCCCAGCCCCCAGGACCTCAGGTTGGGTGGCCTTTGCTCAAAGGTCGATTTACAGTATTGAAAAAGAGGTCATAAAAGAGACCCAAATGACGTTGTAATTTTGTAAAAATTCCTCACTCGCTGGCCTGCATGTATTCCCTGTTGCTGACCCGGCCCCCTCAAGCCCCCAGAAGGGAGAGGAGGGCTGAGGGGGTGGTCAGGGAAGCCCCCCAGTCCCGGCCAGCTCGTCTCGGCTCTGGTCCATGGCATCGCTGTCTGAGGCTTCCGAATCGGAGGCAGTGTCGGAGGCCTGGGCCTCAGGGCAGCTTCGGACTGGCTTCACAATTACGGCTCGCCGCTGCTCCTCTTCCTGCTCCTGCCTTTCTTGGGTGCCTTCGATGTGCTGGATTGCCTGGGAGGACAGGCTGTGCTGAGGATGGCTGAAGGCATGCAGACAGCCAGCATCTACACACACACACACACACACACACACACACACACACATTCCAGAAAGGTCCAGAAGTAAGCCCAGCAGAGCAGCAGGGGGCCTGCTAAAGTCAGGGGTAGCAAAATCCTCTCCTTAGCTAAAAACCCCCTTGGTTATCACAGGGCAGGGCTGCTTGGAAGTCACCACCATTTAGTTTATTTATACACTTTAAAGTTGGTCTGTTTACTAATAAAAAGTTTTTATAAGTAATTTTATTATTCAATCTGCTAGAATGATGTGCAGCTAAAGGTCCAGGAGTTGCTGGGCCTTTTTTGGTTTACGTTTCTTTCTTTCTTTGTGATGTCCTCAGCTCCCTAGGGGTCTCTGTCCCAGGATGGGTACAGCAGTGGACGATGGGTACAGCAATGACTTCAGGGCTGACCTACAGAGCTATCATCTTCTTTCTTCCTCCTCTGTAATTAGCTTAACTGTCACCCTCCCAGCTACTGCCACCTCCATCCCCATCCCAGGTCCTAGGAGATGAAGATGAGAGGAAGTTCTGGACCAAACCAAGAGCTGGATATAGGAACTTGGAAGCTGGAAGCTCTGGAAGCAAAGGACCCTCTCCACAAACCCCACATGGAGAAAAGGAACAAGGTTTTCCAGGCCATCCCATCCCCCATCTCTGCCCCTGACCATCCCCACAGAGCCCCTGCCAAACCCCTGCAAACAGAGAAACTCAGGGATGAAAACAGAGACACACACACCCAGCTTCCACGCCTCCCCTCACAGTCAAGCTGTATCTAACTTCCCTTCAGTCCCTGCTTTCTGATCTCCCCCAAAGGGTTTGTTCCCAGAGGACAACCCCCACATGAGGCCCACCCCGAGCGCAGGTACCTGCACGATGGTGTCCAGATTTTGCCGGGACGTGGAAACTGAGTTGATGACCGAGGAGGGGCCCATGGTGACGACATTGATGTGGTGAGGAGTAGGTGGTGGCGCAGGCACGATCACCGTGGGATGGTGGGTGGGGGCCGGAGGGGGCAGGAGCTGTGAGACAGAGGCCCTCAGTCTTTCTCCAAAGGCTCAGGGACCTTCCCCTTCCCTTCTGGCAGTCACAGGGGATATAGGACGTCCTCCAAAACCATGTCTCTGTGCCCACTGCCTCGAGACAGTCTCTGCCAACCACTCACGGAAGGCCACGTAGTTTAGGGCCTCTTACTCCCTTATCTTAAGCAACAAAGGAAAGACAGCCTAGAGAGGGGCGTCCAGCCATCCAAGAACTCGTGGCCCCTTCACTGTCCAGTGCCAAGCAAGAACCCTGACATCTAGTGCAGTGGTGGTCAGGAGTTTAGATTCTGGATTTAGACAGCCAGGGTTCATTCAAATCCCTGCCCCAATCACTGAGGATCTTGGGCGTTGTAATTTAGCCATTCTCGGCTTCACTTTCCTGATCAGTAAAACAGCCTCAAAGGGTCACTACAAGGATTCATGTAGTAACGTAAGATACCTGGAAACTAGGAATGTCTCTATTACTACTCTTTAGGCCCTATGTCTGCCCTGCAGGGCCCTGAGGCACCAATGCTGAGCCTGAGAGCTCCAGCCTCAGCCCACACGGCCCCTCCCAGGTGCCTCCCACTCACCTGGGTCCGAAGGTGCTGCTGTTCCCGCTCCAGCTTCTCCTGGTGAAGTAGTCGCACCTGCTCTTGCTGCTGCTGCAGCTGCACCTGCTGTGCGATCACCTTGAGCTTTTCCGGGTACATGTGAGCCTCCAGCGAGCGAACCTGGGGACAGAGAGGCAGGCTCACGGGCAGGGCCCAGACCACACTCTGGCTACTCCTTCAGTGTGGGGCCCTCAGGGCTACTGAGGTCAGCCTCCGCACTTTCTACCCCTTGAAAAGCAGGCCATTTGCTCCTGCTGCAAACCCGAGCAGGAGCCTGCCACCCTCAGGAAAAGACCTGGGGTAGGGACCAAAGTCCTACCATAGCCTGCCAAGCCCTGTCTGACTCACCTCCTCTCCTACCATGACCTCCCTCATGCCATGCTCCCTCAGTCCTTCCATCCCTCTCTCCAGCCTCAGGGCCTCTGCCCATGTGATTTCCTCTTCCTTGGAGCACCCTCCTCTCTGCCTGGTTAACTCTGAGAACTGACCCCCTGGCCCACTTCCCACAGTCAGCTCAAGCCTTTTGACAGAGAAGCCATGGAGCAGCCTCTCCAGAACCAGCCCAAATCCCCTTCCCAATGTCCATGCTTCCTGCAGGACCCTTTTCACAGCTGCATTTCTACAATGTAAATCCTGACTAAACCTTCTACCCCACACAGATGGGGACCAAAGGGCAGAAGGCACCTGTTTGATTTGCTTCCCACCGGAACCCCCATTCCTAGACCTGGCACAAAGCAGGCGCTCCTGTAACTAACTGCTCAAGGGAAGCAGGGACAGGAGAAAAGGAAGAGAGAGGGACTGGAATTCCCCCACAACAGCCTGCTTGCCTGCCTCACCTGCTCCTCCAGCATCATGCGCACCGAGCGCTCCTTGTCCAGCTGTTGCCGTAGCTCAATCATCTCCCGCCGCAGGTCTTCTGCCTTCTCATCCTCCCAGATGTCTGGGGAGCCAATGCCCTCATCCTTGTCCTCTGCCCGCCGCCGCTTGGGGGACGAGCCACTCAGCTCCTGGGGACCCCAAGGGGTTGGTGAGTGTGCCTTGACACCCTTGTACCACCGCCACCAATGGGGAGGTTGGAGGGCTCCATCGCAGCCCCCAAAGCTGTCAACCCAGGTGCTCTGGCACCGGGAGCCCCATCCGGCAAAGCCAACAGTGACCAAGGGCCAGAAACAAAGGCAGAATGGACCTGCTTGCCAAAACCTTCTAGATCTTTCCAGAGTCGCTCAACTGCACTTTATGGATGGGTTAACTGAGGCTTGGGCAGGAAAACAAGTGTCTGAAGTAGGTGTGTCAGTGGGGAGGGTGAGACCTGCGGCCTCATGAGAGTCCCAGGCCAGTGTTTGAGCCCAGACATGCTCATGCCAGGAGGAGCAAGCCAGGAGGAGAACAGGTATTGAGGTGACGGGAGGCCTCTGCAGGTGCTACCTGGATGAAGCGCTTGAGCTGTGTGTTCTGCTGCAGGAGCCTGGTCTTCTCCTGCTCCAAGGAGAAGATGTACTCCGCCGTCTGCTGGAGAATGGCTGCCTGAGGGCAAGAGGGACAAGTCAGGGGCCCCAGTGCACACCATCTACTGAAGCTCACTTCCTTCTCCCTGCTTGAGCCCACCACCTACTCCAGGAAGCCCTCCCAGCCTTCACCCACCTTGCTGAGCTTCTCTCCATCTGTGTGGGGGATGAGGGTCTTGAGGGACTGGAAGCCCGCATTGATGCTCTGCATGCGCCTCCGCTCGTTGCTATTGGCAATTTCCCTCCGAATCCGCCGCTCCTGGTCCCGCTGAGTCTCAGGGGTCAGTGGAATGTTGGCAAGACTGCCAGGAAGGGCAGGGACACACTCAGGCTAGATGTCCTCCATGCCCTGTCCCCCAAAGGGCCCCTATCTTTACAGTTCATCTCCACAGGGCCCCCGGTGTAACTTTCATTTCTCCCCCTGCAAAAGATGCCAGACTTGTCTGATGCCTATACCCCAGCGGATCAGGAGGATGATAAAGCAGCATGCTTTGTGATGCCTGGGTATCAAAGTCACCACGCACACCCCAGGTCCCAGCCCCAGTGTCTGGCCAGTTGGTCTGAGTGGGGCCCAAAACCTGTATGGCCTGGCAAGAATCCCTGTGACTCTGATGCAGGTGGGCTCAGGTGACAATAGGAGATACCTGCTCCCGGGACTCCTCTGAGATCCTTGTTATGCACCTGAAGGACTATCTCCTTCAGAGTCACAATCTAGAGCCCTAAAGAAGACATCCCTACTGCTTTTGCATCCCCACAGCCATGTCTCCAGCCATAGTGCCCCCAGCCTGGCCCCAGCCACCCTGTGCTAAGACTTCAAAGACAAGACAGATACCACTTGCTCCAGGGAGGGAATGTCAAGACAACCACCCCTAGGGACAGTTCTCTCCCATGCCCACCCACTCCAAGAGGCAGACCACCCTGCACCAGAGAAACAAGGCTTCCAGCGTGCAGTGGGCAATGTTATTGCATATTGTGACTGCATCTTGCAGGAGCAGCAGCCTGTGGGGTAAGAGAGAAGGCAGCCAGTGGAAGGGGGTGAAGTTGTGGGCTGAGAGGCACTGGCGGGAGGCAGAGATGGCAACAGGGCCTGTGGGCCCAAAGCCACTGCTCCCAACAAGTGGGCCTCTTTGTGGACTCCAGAAGGCATATCCCCCTTCCCAGCCCTCTCCTGCAACACCCCCCGCCCCTGACCTGATGGCTTCCAGATGCTGGGCTGCCGTAAGAGGCCACTAGCCCCACCCAAAGCCACAGTCCTGGCTTCTTCCTGAGCCCCCTTACCCGCCCTGGGGTGACTGGTCCAGGCCTAGCTCACACCCTTGTGTCTGGGGTAATGGAGAAAGGATTCTGGACAGCGCTGTTTCCATCGATGGGGGACCCTGAGCTTTAAAAAGGGCCTGGTCCTATTCCCCTGCTATGCCATGCCCCCATGCCTGGCCCCAGAGAGAAAGGAGTCTGCGTGAAAACCAGGAAGGGAACACATCTGCAGCAGCGAGAGACAGCCGAGGCCTTCCTTGGGCTCTCTCCAGGACACTGCACTTGTCCTTGCCGCTTCCTGCACCTTGGCCTCCTCTCCCAGCCAAGGGGAGTCAGCTGGGGACAGGCCAGGAGTGGGATCCACATCAGATACTGTGGGGGGTCCTGAGACAAGACGGCTCCTCCACCAGTCCCTGCAGGGCCTCCCTGGGCCCCCTCCCACAGGGTACAGGTCCCTTGCAGGGCTTCGTAATATCAGAACTATAAAGGGAGTTCATGACCCCCCCTTTACAGATGGGGCTTAGGGATCATAAAAAGGAAGGACACAGTTTTAAGGTCAGATAGCCAGGTGTTGAGCTCCACCACTTCTCCCAGTTTCCCGGCCCCTACAGTGGGAGTGACTGGAGTGGCTGAAGAAGACGCAGGTCAGAGATCTGATATGAAGAGGTGTGTCTGCGCTTCAGGAAAGGGTGAGTTGGAACAGAGTGCAGCCTCCCAGGTCCAGAGCAGTGCCCTCCAGAAACTCTACGGTGGGTGGACTAAAGTCCGGAGTCTTCGTGAGACAAGAGAAGATGGGGAGAGACATCCATACCAAGCCAAGCTACCAGTGACTGCCTGGCAGTATCACCCTCCTTGTCCAGAGAGAGATATAGGGAGAGAACCCCACTCACCAAGTCCCTAGATCCCTCCTGGTGATGCCCAAAGGCCAGAGCAGACCAGAGTAGTTAGGAGTAAAATGGAGCCCATGTCCACCCTTGGGCCGCCCTGAGTGCTAGTCCTTACAAAGGGCCAACCTGGAGGGCCTAGCAACAGAGTAACACTTTTGTTTGTTTGTTTCTGAGTTTTTTTAAAGTCTTTTTAAAGTTCTTACTATAATGTGCTAAGGACTTGCTTTGCTGGAATTTTCTCACTGAATTGTCACAATCTGCCTCTGAGTTATGTGGCCTTACAATTCCTGTGTGTGATGAGGACACAAAGGCTTAGAAATAGAATAGCTCAGCAAATGGTAGGGCTGGGACTTGAACCTAGATCCCAGGGCTCTGCTCTTACCCCCGAGAGGTCTCGCCACAGAGCAGAGTGGGCTCTGCACATCCCAACAGACAGGTGATGGTTACACCTGTCGAATGGATAAGCATGGCTATGCCTGGCCATCACATTAACTCCTATTACCACCCCAGAACTCTTTTACATGCTTCCCTGTCTGACTTGCATGAAAATTCAGCAAGGGGGCTGCATCATTATACTGCAACAAGCAATCCAAGGTCCTATGAAGGGAAGTGACAGGCCCAAGGTCAGGAAGCCAGATCAGGGAGCAGCAGCAGGCACCTGCAGGTGCCAAAGCTCACACTCTCCTTCCCGCCAGCTGATGGCACCCTCTACTGAGGGCCCGCACACAGTCCAGTGTCCATCAGAGCCCTATATGTGGCTGTAAGAGGCAGCACCCCAAATCCCTGACTCTTGCCCCTCAAGCCCGTTCATCTGCCCATGAATCTCAGCTGTAGGGAGCACATCCTCTGCCTCTCCCTCATCCCCAGGATGCCCACGAATTGAGGAGACCAAAGACTGCAGGACCCCAGGCCTGAAAGCCTCTGACGAAGTTTCCAGGGGGCAGGGGTGTGGGGTGGTACACAGGGGCCTATGTTGTCTCCTGCTCATCTGAAGCTGCCAAACGTTCCACTCTGTCTTCTTCAACACCAAATTCATAAGCCCAGCCTCCTGGCTCAGGAACCAGCTGCGGTTAACTTGGTGCGGACTTAAATCCCAGAAAAGACTTCTCCCCAAAGCTACAGTTCCTCATGGGGACCTGGGCTGCCTGCCACCAAGACTTTCCGCCCTCACTCACCAAAGCAGCCCTGGAAGTACCAACTGATAGTTTCTTTAATAGATGCAACTAAGCAGGAGTTTGGACCACTGGGTTTGTGGCTCACCAGGGGGTTCTGATTGGTGAAGTGCTGCCCAACCGGGGACTCCTATGAAGGACAGCTAATCGGAATTTCCAGCTAATACTACAAATACCTTAAAGTATTTTTGCATTTCTTTCTGAATTTTGCAGAAGTAAACATGATTTACGGTCATTGTAAGAGTCCTACGCCCACTCCCTCTCACCTTCCACATCAATTTCGGACCCCTGAGGTGAGCAACAAAGGTGGCCCAGGTCCACTAACACCAGGTATCTCTTGCTTCTCACCCTCCCGACTGTCCTCCAACAGTCTCATGGGGCTGACCGGGGGCTGCTACCCGAGCACCTCCAGACAGCACCCTGGGAACAGCACCAGCATCCCAACCAGAGGCTCAGGGCTGGGAGCAGGCTCACCAGGTCTAGATCCTGACCTGCAGCTGTCCCTCCTACCCAAGCCAAGGGCAGTAGGTATCCCCCAACCTCCTTAGACACCCCTGCCGAGTTCTAGTATCAACTTAGCCACTGACAACTCTCATCTCACACTGTCCCAAAGTCACTCGCACACCTGCCGCTCAACAGCTACCCAGCTGGAGAACCACACAGGATTTCTCCTATATTCCCAAGAACGAGAGGGAGGAAGATGACTCTCACCAAGGATGCCCAAGATGCTTATCCTTCTCTCTGCAGCAGGTACTAAAGCCAGGGCCCTGGCCCATCCCCGCTGCTTCTATCCATAGACCTCACTCCAAACAGCCCACCACCTCTGCCCTCAGTACCTGAACACACCACATCCGGACTGTATCCAGCAGACACACCTCCTCCCCACAGCTTCTCCAGTGCCTCAGAGGTAGCCCTACACTCAGTGGGGTCAAGTACCAACTTCAGCCCTGCCACTGACTAGCTGTGGAACCCCAGGCTTAGCCACTTCATCTCTCAAAGCCTCAGTCTCCCCATCTGTAAAATGGGGGGATACAGTCTTACTTCACAGGGTCACAGTGAAGTTTAAATGAGGAGGAGGAGGAGAGCCCTGGATGATGCAGTTCAGTTGGTTAGAGTGCTATCCCCATAACCAAAGGGTTGTGGGTTCAATTTCCACTCAGGGAACATACTGAGGTTGCAGATCCAATCCCGGGTTGGGGTGCGTACAGGAGGCAACCAATCGATGTTTCTCTCACATTAATGTTTTTCTCTCCCTTTCTCTCTCTCTCTAAAAACAATGAAAAATGTCCTCAGGTGAGGAGAAAATATAAAATAAAATAGGAGAAAAGAGAAAGAGAGAGACTGAGAATAACAGGATGCCTTATTCTTCCAGAGTTAGTACTCAGGACTGCAGGATAACCCATGAATCTCCCTTAAAGGGCTGACAAGACCCTTTAGCACCACGAGATTGCAAACTCTAAGGGCAGGGGCCTGGTCTGGTTCACTGTGACATCCTCAAACCTGGCACTGAGCAGGTGCTTTGTAAATACCAGATCAGGACCCAACACACACTCAAAAGCCCCTAATTGTTTTCAAACTCCTGAGGGCAGCTGGTCTCTTTCCCTGCTGAGGGCAGTCCCTAAACTCCTGGTTCTGAGTTTGAGGGCCATTTTAACAGCTACCAGGCATTTTCATCCGTGTAGCCACACTTCACAGGTGCTCCATTTTACAGAGGCTAAGAGCAGTTAGGTGACAGGTGCAAAACCACGGGCTTGTGAGGAACCTGCTGTGCAGTGTAGTGGGGGTCAGGGGGCACCCTCTGAAGAGGCAGGGAACCCTACTAGTCTGAGAGATGGAACAAAGTCCGCCAGCCCAAAAAGTGAGTCCATCTGGCCAGAAAGTCATGTCCAACCCACCACCTCAATTTTCTACAGGTCTCCAACCTCACCCCACACCCCCTTCTAGAAATGAACAAACCCAGAGGCCCCAACTGCACACCCAGTGCACAAACTGACATTTGTCTCCCAGCAGGACAGGCTGAGTATACCTCCATGCCCAGCCCTATTGGGGGATCCTGCCACTTTGAGCACTTGGCCCCTGGGGGACAAATGGACTCCTCTAAAGAGGGCTAAGAACAGGGACAGTGTGAAACCAGGATTCACCACACCAGGCCTGCCCAAGGTCAGTGCCTGCAATGTCCTCTCTAGCATGTGGAGCAGCTCAACCCCTCCTCCCCTGACCAGCCCTCCTCTGAGCAATAAGCAGCGTTTCCCCCTTCCTTTCTCAGGGGCTAAGAGTAGGGCCCTGGGATCATCCTTGAGGTCCCAACCCCACCACTTGCTGTAACTGTTTCCTTTCCAAGCCTGTGTCCTCATCCCACATAGGAATCTTAATGCCCCTTAATTCAGGAAGACTGACAATTCACTGAAAAAAATCTAGCGAAACAAGTCCCTAGAACATATTAAGAGCGCTAGAATTTTTGTTTTAACATTTTACAGCTAGGTCTCCCAGGTGGCCCTTCAGAAGGGCCTGCGCTCAGGGAGGCCCTGATAATTTAAAAACCCACCAATTGGCCCATCCTCCCTGTACTTGAGAGTAGTTGAGGTGGGAGCTAAGTGTGGTGGGGGCTGGGCAATACATGTGCAGCGACTTTCCCCCAACTTGGCTTCTGCAGTCACTGGTGTCCACCAGTCTGGGCCACACCACCTGGGGGCTCCACCTCCCTCAATATCCGAGCCTTACCTTCCCCAGCATGAGAGAGCACGTGGCCTCAACCCCGGGGAGCCATTTCACTCCTAGAGCAGTGCCTCAGCAAAGGGATCAAAGGTCTCAAACTTGGGCAGCAGGATAACCGCCCCCTGCCCCAAAGAAGCAGAGCTGTCCTACCGGTGGTGTTCAGTGTGTACCCCACCAGACCATTCTAGCGATAGGAGTTTCAGGCACTGGCATTTTAACAAGTGTCCAGGGTGATTCCGGTGGGAGTACAGAGCGAATTCATCACCCTTTGGTAAAGGGTGGGCCTGGAGCAACCCGGGTCAAACTTGTGAAGTGGCTCCTGGAGGGGAGCTGCACACCTCAGACCACACATCCACCCATCCAGCTGGGAGACCTGACGCTTTCGGTTTACGACTAGGGGAGGGCCGTGGCATGGGAAAGTTTGCGATAGAGGCTCAAGTGCCGCGCCTGGTGAGATTTGGGATAGCTTCTGATGCCCACTGCCCCCAACGCTCCCCCACCTGGCTTCCCTCGCCTATCCCGCCCGCGGTGGCGAAGCATTGTGCGGGGAAAGCGTGGCCCCGGATCGCCTACAGCTCCCACAATGCCGCACCGGAGGGACGCGGAAAACTACACCTCCCGCGAGGCAGCGCGCGGAGGTCCGCCTACTCCAAGAGGGCTGCAGAGTCACGTCCAGGCCTCGCTAGTAAACAGCGCTCGGGCGCGGGCAGCGAGGGAGCAAGTTAGCGGTCGCAACTTGCCCGTCCGCGGCGCTCCCGGCCAGCCGCGCTGGCCCCTAGGGTCCCGCCCACTCCCACACCCCCACGCAAGCACGCCCCCAACCCCGCTGCAGCCCCGCGTAGTGCAAACACGCACATCACCCGGCTCCCCGTCCCCCCCCACGCCCGGAGCTGCGGCGTGGCTGCATTGTAGCCGCCCGCGGCCCCCCGCGCGCCCCTGGGCCCCCATACCCCTTGCGGGGATCGCCCATGGACAGCGAGGAAGGAGGGAGAGGAAGGAAGCCAACGCGGGAGGGGGAAGAAGGACGCGCGGGGAAAGCCACCAGCACCAAGCATGGCCGGGACTGCTGCAGAACCACGTGGGTCTGTTTGCAATTACAAACGTCGCGACTCGCCCGCCTGCAGCGGACAAAAGTGACCAGGGCCACTCAGGGCCCCCACGTTCCGCGGGAGGAGAGTCCCCGGACGGCGCAAGACCAGAGTGCAGAGCTGCAGCCGCCCCGGCAGCTAAGAAAGGCGAACGGGGTCGGCGGCGCGGGCCATGCGTGCGCACACGCGCGCCCGCCCGGGCTGGCTGGCCCGGGGCTGCAATTGTAGGAAGGGAATGGGGGGAGAAGGAGTACACACCTACAAAGCCCTCCTATCACTTCTTTCTCTGTTTTCCTGAAATGTTGCAAAGAGGGCACCTTCTGAGTGGGCACCATGAAATACTCCATAGCGATCGGCCCCCCTTCTCTGCACGAGCCGGGTCCCGCGGTCCACCGGAGAATGCAAGATGGAAATCCGAATAAAAGGGCAGCGCCGGACGGAGGTGCAGAATCGGCCAGTCCCAGATGCTGGCGGTGGCGGCGGCGGCGGCGGCGAGGGGAGGGAGGGGCGGGAGGGAGGTCTCTCCGGCCTGCCTCCCCGGGCGCGTGTATGTATGTGTGTGCGTGTGTGTGTGTGTGTGTGTGTGTGTGTTTGCAGCTGATCAGATGTCTGTTTCAAGGCGGGAAACAGCTGGTGAAAACTCAGCACTCCCCCGGCCTCCTTCCGCGGAGTAAGGAATTGCATGTAAACAAAGGACTATTTGCAGCGCCCCTGGGGCGGCGCGAGGCCGGAGAGAGAGGGGCTCGGGCCCCCGGGGGCGGAGGGACAGCTGGGGTCTGCAGGCCTCCCCTGGACGCTGGGAGCCAGGGGCAGCGGGCTGACTTGGAGGGCGCTGTGTGAATGGAGCGAACTGCGGCCGAGCTACATGCGCCACTATGGGTGATGAGGTTCATCAGCTGACAGGTTGGCAAGCGTTGAAAAAAAAAAAAAAAAAAAAAGGCACAGCCAGGGAGCCCAGCCGGTGCGGCAGGGGTCTGGCGGGGACTGCCCAGTGCAGGGTCTGTGCGTTCTGCGGTCCTCTGGGGCCGGGGACGCGCAGCTGGGCTGGGCAAAGGCGGCCTGGCGGCCTGGGGTGCTGCTCAGGGCTTTTCCTTTTTCACGACTGTAACTGCACAGAGTGGAGCCACACTGGCGCGCTCCCTCCGAGCTCAGGGCCCCCTAGAAACTTGCGTCACAGCCACCGCTTCCCATATGCAACTTGGGGCCGACTTCGGAGGCCGGCCAGCCTTCCGCCTCCCACCCTCCTTCCCTGCCCCATCGCCCGGCCCCGGCTCTAAAGCCTGGGAAGCCCAGAGCCGGGGAGAGGAATGCAAAGGGGGCGCGCCGATCGCCTCGGATCCTTGGGCAGCTCTAGAAAGCTGGGGCCCCGGCCGGGAGGGAAAGGTGGAGCGAGGCCAGGACAGCAGCGGCCCGGGGGCAGGCTGCCGGCCCGGGGCAGGCTGCCAGCCCGGCTGGGAGGTCTGGTGGCTGCTGCCGGGTCCCGTCCTAACCTTCGACACACACACTTTCCCTCTCCACGGGAATGCAGGACGTTAGGATTCTTGGCTTGGGCAGACGGAACGCTGCAGCTTCTCATTCATGGCGAAGCCAATGCAAGACTTGCTCCTCCGCCAGAGTGCGCTTTCTAAGAGGGGTGTTGGCCTGGGACGGGGAGGACACTGGCTAATGACGAACTTCCACCACCCTCACCGGGTCCCTACCTTCCTTCCCTAGGCTCTCCTCGGGCTGCTGGAGGGTTGACCCAACTCAGGAAGCCCACGCCCGCCTGGGAATGTCGTGCCTGCTGCCTACCACCTTTCCTAATCCGGTCTGCCTTTTAGGTTCTGCCCAAATCGTACCTCCTAATTGAAATTCTCCTACTGATAACAAGGATTACTGTTATTATTAGAGAATATTATTGTTATTAGATAGTTCGAGCACCTTGTAGCTGTTGAGCAGTTTTGCATGCATGTTTTCCAATCCCCAAAGCCACCCATCGGACAGTTCCTCTAAAGACAGCCCAAGCCACTTAACCCACAGTCCCTGGAAGGCCTCACTGTGGGGACAGGGAATGTGTTCAGGAAACTATGACATCTGGGGACAACAGGATACAGAGCCCCATGAGTATGCACTGAACAACATGTATAGTGCCTGGATGAATGAAAGAGCTAATGAATAACAGCCAATACACGTCTTGTATACACTCTCCCTTTCAAGCCTAACTACACCTGCCCTGCCTCTACCCCCACCCAAGCTGGACAGGGCTGGAAAATGAAATCCCACAACCTTGCTGACTGATCTTATTTTTATATTTTTAAAGACTTCATGCCCATGCCCTTTCTTCTATGGAACTGCCTTGACTGAGCCTGGCCCCTATGAACTCTGTCACTAAAGCCTGGCCTCTCCATTTCCGCCAAAGGCACCTTCTCACGAAGAGCCCTCAGCTGTCTCACATGTACAAACCCAAAGTCCTGTGAGCTGGACCAGCAGCTCCTGCCCTAAGGCCTGAAATATCAACACTGCCCCCAGTCCTACTCCAACTCTCTCCCATCACTATGGCAGTGACATAGTAAGTCCCCAAAATCCAGGCTGTCCCTCATCCCCAGGAGGTTCTGTACATCCCTTAATCTGACCCTGTCTCCCTCCCCTCCCCAACTGTAAACTCAAGTTCATGGTGCCTTCTGGAGCCCTCAGAAGGTTTTCAGCAAAACCCATTAGATCCTTAACATCTGACCTCGTCACCTTCTTGCTCTAAATTAGGAGTCAGCAAATTTCTGAAAGGGCATGTAAAAGTTATTTGTATTAGTTTCCTACTGCTACTGTAACAAATTACTGTAAATTTAGTAGCTTAAGACAATACAAATTTGTTCTCTGGAGGTCAGAAGTCCAAATGGGTTATACATATTTGGATAAAATCATGGTGTCAGCAGGGCTGTGTTCCTTCTGAACGTGTGGGGGGGTCTCTATTTCCTTGCTTTTTTTTTTTTTTTAAAGATTTTGTTTTTTATGTCCTTGCTTTTTTCTGACTTCTGGAAGTGGCTTGTGGCTTTTTCCTCTATTCTTTATTTTTTAAATATTTTATTTATTTATCTTTAGAGGGGAAAGGAAAGGGAAGGAGAGAGGGAGAGAAATATCAATGTATGGTTGCCTCTCATGCATTCCCTGCTGGGAACTGGCCTGCCACCCAGGCATGTGCCCTGACTGGGTACCGAACTACAATCCTTTGGTTCCCAGGCCCGTGCTCAATCCACTGAAGTACGCCAGCCAGGGCCTTTTTCCCTCCATCTTTAAAATGTGTCATTCCAACTTCCGCTTGTCATCACATCTTCCTCAACCCTCCTGCCTCCCTTTTATGATGACTGTGGGCCAACCCAGACAATCCAGAATAATTTCCCAATCTCAAAATCCTTAACTTAGTCACATGTTCAAAGTTCATTTTATAAAGTAACATCCACAGATTCTGGGGTTGGGATACAAATATCTTGGAGAGGGTGCTGTCTACCACACCACTCTCAGTTTGTGAGCCATACAAAGCGAGGCAGTGGTTACATACAATATGCCACAGTAATTCCATTCCTAGGTATGTATGTCCAAAGAATGAAATGGAGACTCAAACATTTCATTGTACAGTGGTGTTCACAGCAGCATTATTATTTTTTTTTAAAGATTTTATTTATTTATCTTCAGAGGGGAAGGGAAGGAGAGAGGGAGAGAAACATCAATGTGTGGTTGCCTTTTGTGCATCTCCTGCTGGGAACTGGCCTGCAGGGAACAGGTCTGCAACCCAGGCATGTGCCCTGCTGGGAATCAAACCTCGATTGTCTGGTTTGCAGGCCCGCACTCAATCCACTGAGCTACACCAGCCAGGGCTACACAGCAGCATTATTCACAATAGCTGAAGGGTGCAAACCATCCACTGCTCATCCACTGAGGAATGGATAAACAAATTGTTTATGCATTCATACAATGAAATATTATTCCCGACCTTAAAAAAGAATGAAGATGTGATACTCCTGACCCTATCCATACAATGGAACATTATTCAGCCCTAAAAAAGGAATGAAGATCTGATATATACAACAACATGGATGAACTCTGAAAACAATGCTAAGTGAAATAAGCCAGATACAAAAAGTCATATATTGTATGATTGCACTCATAGGAAATATCTAAAATAGGCAAGTTCATTAATAGAGAAATTACATTAGAGGTTACCAAGGGTTGGAGGATGGGTAAATGGGAAGTTACTGTTTAACAACTATAGTTTCTGTTTGGGGTGATGGAAAAAATTTTGGAAATTGTGGTGGTGATCGCACAACATTGTGAATGTAACTAATGCCACTGAATCATACATTTCAAAATGGTTAGAATAGCAAATTTAATGTTATATGTATTTTACCACAATAAAGTTAAACAGGCAAAAAGTCAACAAAGAACGGTCAGTGGGCTGGCTTTGGCCTCTGGACAGCAGTTCTCCCGACCCCACTGAACCTCCCAACTTTCCCCACTTACCCTCCCACTTCCCTCCTTATCTGGCTCAGAACTCACAGCCCATCAGTATGATCGTCTTGTATACACTCTCCCTTTCAAGCCTAACTACACCTGCCCT